GAAAGAGTGGCTCTCAAATACTGTAGGGCATCCAATGGAGAAATAAACCAGCTAGCTCCCACAAAAAGGCTCAACATTGGGTAAATTCTGCCAAAATATGAATTTTATAAAAATTACTGAAGAAATAATTCTGTTACTCAGGCTTATACTGAGACTCCTATTTTCATCACAAATTAACTACTTAGGGCTCTGGGAGTTTTATACAGATGTCTTCTTCCACTATTGAAATACAAAAAATCCAAAGATAGATATCGATTAGATCTTTTATGAGAATTTTCTTCTCTTTGTCTTCCTCTCTGCTTTTAACTGCATGAAGAACATTTATATCCCAAAAATGGTGCAACTGTCCAGATTACAACCCTCTGTTCCCAATGCAAACAGTCTATTTCTCCAACCTACCATCACAGCCAATGAACACTCTCAAACTTGGTTTCTCATTTGCATACCCATCCTCCCAAATTAAAAGGATTTCAAAATTTGAGGGATTTTTTTTTTTAAGGCAGGCATAGGAGAGTCAGCATCAAGATTTATGGAAATTCCTCTTTTGGCATTTCAGTAATTACAGGAGTGAAAGCTCAGCTAGATTGCCTAGACAGATGTGACCAAGACACCCAGGCTATGATGCCAATGACAAATGGGTAACTGATAAGAAGAAATGGAGAGGGCGACAGACTGAAGAACAGGTCAATATCATGCTGTCATGAAGCCATTTGAGAAACATAATTAATCTATTACTCACCTGGCATCATCATTCATTGTGCAGTGGTCAATAGGTGCCATGAAGCTCACCAGCTTGCTATGGACATGATACCTGAATAAAGCAGGAAATAGACAGCACATCAGTACTTATTAATGGAGGGAAACATCACTATCTGGATGGAAACATCCTAGTGCCCCTAATGTAGAACGCTGGCTTTATTGGTGGCTAGTGGCTAATAACTCGCTAGTCACGGTTGGTGACTGTTACTTCTCTCCCAAAATAAGGGGGGGGGGAAAATCAGGTGATTAAGTGTTCTGAACAGTGGACAGGTTGCAACACTTCACTTTCTCACAAGCAGAAGAGAAACACTCCAGCATCATTGAGCCACAAGCTAGCACGCACGTGATCACAGCAGAGAACTTCGGAGGAGGACAGAAAAGGTGCAAAGGCACAAAGAGGTGAAGTAATACAGCCAAGGTCACAGTGGCTGACCCTATCCAGGTCCCTATTTACTAAGCCATGTGCCACCGAGAGATCCAATGCCCCTCAGAGCCAACTTTACTCTCCCCACTTGGTCTGTAACTTACGGAAAGGCCCCAGGTACCTGCCGTTCAAAATCTCTGAATAGGCAACTGATTTTAAACACTAGTCATTAGATACAGAAAACTCCAAGCCAACAGCTTTCTACCTATATTGCCCTGTCAACTACCCAAGTTGGAAATGGTTTGTTGGAGCCATTGCTATTCTCAGAGCTTGAAGAATGGCAGGCAGAAAGATTCAGAAGCATTTGGACAGATACAGTCACTTTTTTACTCTGCCACCTTTGCACTCTTTTGTTCACTTGTTCAGAACCATTCCCTAGGTCAGGACTGACTTCACATGAATATTACCAAGTAAGTGCCTCTTCAGAAAGGTAATCACCTTCACCCTTAAACAAGGACTTTGGTGCCCAAACCAAGGCTTTGTCATTCCTAAAGGAAGAAGCTGTCCTGTTATAACGCTGCAGGCAGACTAACTTCAGGCCAATCACAGAGCATACATGATACCAGACAACTTTCATAGATTTCATAGACATTAGGGCTGGAAGGGACCTCGGAAGATCATCGAGTCCAGCCCCCTGCCCAAAGGGCAGGAAGTCAGCTGGGGTCATAGGATCCCAGCAAGATAATAGGATCCCAGCAAGATAACTTAGGGCAGATACCAAGCTACAAACAACAAGTCGAGGCAAAAGTATGAACAAAGTGAACACATTTTGGTCCATGAGTTAGCTTATAGGATGCCAACATATAATGTATTTGTGTGAATCAAAGCATGTTCGGGGACAATCTGTGAATTTATAAAGGGCCTTCATTATTCTGATAAATTGTCTGCCACTAATTGTTTGTTGGGGTCTACTTATTCTGCTATTTTTAAAATGAAGCCTTCCAAACCCCAGCCTAGCAGACAAAATATTAAATTACAAACACAGCAAGACATCCCAAATCACAGCTGCACAATTATTCCATGACAAAAAAGAAATATACACCTCAGATGTATCCATCCCAGGGAAAAGTATTTTATAATAGACTGGGACTGGGGACAGGGCACTTGGGACAACTGCCGAGTCCTGCCCCACTTTTGCTACCTGTTTCTCCATCTGTGAAATGGGGATGAGTTCTCTTCTCCCTAGCTAGAGTGCTGCGGGGGCAGTTGTTTCTGAAAGTGCTCAGAGCCGTGGACATTATTTTACACTGAAACTGCACCCTCCATTCAAACCTCTCAGAGCATTAGGAAAGGAAAAGACAATGATAATAATGGGCAATGATGCTGAGTTCCAACAAGAAAAATTTCCCCTTGGTGGTCTAAGAGGCCTTCCTGGCATTTCTGCGAAGGCAGCAATTCCATTTACCAGCAGTGTGGACACAGATCTGAGTGCATACGCTACACGTGCAGACTGAGCAAGTGCCATACAGTACCCACTGGCTGGGAAAGCCCATCTGATGCATGTCTACTAGTGCCCAAGGCCTGGAAATGTTGATGGCTCAAAATCATGACTTGCAGGTGCTAGGATTCTGGAGGAATACCCTCCCATGGTTTAGGCTCAACAGCTCAATGGCCAGGGTGCTTAACCTAGGAAGACAGTAAAACACAAGTTGTAAGCCCACCACCCACAGAGGACGTTTGAACTTAGATCTCTCTAAACTTTCTAGCATGGTGCTCAAACCACCACACTACAGGTCTGGCATCACTCAAGATCTTCTCTAGGACTCCTTTTGAAGCTGGCCTCCTAGGCAGCCAGGAGAGGGAATTACAGAGAGCCAGGAAGAAGCAAACAAGCCAGAGGGTATGTGGTTCACCAAGAAGGCTGCTGACTTTGACAGGTAAAGAAATGAGTTCTAGCCTGGAGCTTTACTTCCCTGTAAGGCAAACACTGCCTCCATCCAGCCTATCCAACGACTATTAAATACAAGTGGCAGTGACTGTGCTTCAAAAGGAGCACTAGAAAAGGCCCTGGATAGCCCCTGATCTGTGGTGAGAGGGTTGGAGCATTGTGGAAGTCAGAGAGATGTGGGTTCAAACCCCCTCTGGGCAAGAAGGAGCTTAGAACCTGGGTCTCTAACTTCCCAGACAAGTGCCAAACCCCTGAGCTACAAAGACCAACACGTAGGAGGGTTGCCTTCTCTCCATCACCATCATTCTGGATTGGACACCTTGCACTGAGTCTTCTACTGATGGGGGTTATGTATCCAGGAAGACTGATGGGGGTTATGTACCCAGGAAGCAGAACCACCAATTGTTCACAACTGCCAAACCTGCCACTTAAGACAACCAAACAAAAAATCGAATGCCACCCCCTGTGCTTCCATTCTTGTCACTCCGGGACTTCAACCTGCTTTACAAAAGATAGTAAGTGACAGTATCCACCTCCGACAGATAAGGAAAGCTGAAGGGCAGAGGTTGAAGTGACTCACTCCAGGGGACATACAAATAGTGACTCAGTGGTAGAGGCAAGAATTGAATGCATCCCTCCTGGCTCCTTACTTTCCCCGCTGGACTACATGGGGCGATGAGGAGATTTAATTGTGCACTGATCACACTCTTCAGGAATGACATTGTATTTTATAGATATTAATATTTTCCCTGAGGGTCAGAGCAACTTTTCTTTTTTTTTTTAAAAGAAAGAGGCAGCTAAAATGTAACGTGCAACTGACAGCAAGATTTCTGATCATTCAGGACTTCCGAAGCAAACCGATTGCACACAGCGAGAGACTCGCCCCATTATTCCTAAAGCTTTATGACTCTGACTCAGTTGTGTGATGTTGTCAGTAGTTTTGACTGAATCATGAATATACCCAATTATGTGTGATGCTGACAGAAAAGAATATTGATAGTCAATAATTATAGGCTTTTCAGGCCAACAAAGTAGCTCTTCCCTCTTTTAATAAATTATCTTATGACATCTATCTTAAAAATTGCTATGCCAAGCCTGACCCAGACTGACTCCACTGACTTTCTATCAGATGCCATCTAAACTCAAGATTTATAGTTTACTCACAAAAGGATGGTTAATGTTGCAGATTTTTCAGGAAGCAGTGCAGCTTTTCAGCGTGCCTCCGTGCCACAAACACCGCCTCTACTACAAATCATGCAGTCACTCTCAACTCAGGGAGAGTAATGCATCTGCTCTGCAAAGGGGAAAAAATTTGTATCCCTTCACCACACTTTCCCCTCTCACACCCCAACCAAGACATTTTCAGGTGTAAAAGAATAAGAAAACGGTCCTCATGTGCAGTGATCAGGAGACAGATTTACAAATGTATTTCAATACCTCAAGCTGAAGACTGGTGCCTAGAGGGTTTTCACAACAGTACCTAAGCAGGCTAAGGCATCTAATTCCCATGGACGCTCAACAGATAGGAGATAGGTGCCTTACTCATTTAGGCAGATTTGTAAGGTCTGCAAGGTATCTATCTGTACTTTATGGCACCAAAACATATTTTTGTAAACCTGGCCTTACAGGACTGAGAAATATAAATGCCACTGGCTTTCACTGGCTCTCTCAACAACCCTCCCCCCAAAAAACAAGTTTGGCAAAGCATGTTGATGGTGACATAAGGCAATCAGCATGATAAGACAAGAGCAATGCTCTTGCCGTGGGAAGGTGCTGTCACTCACCGGATTTTCCTTCCTTTGCTAGCTTTTCTGTCCACCTTCTTCTGTATTTTGCTTCGTAGCTTCTGGATGGCCAGCCACTGCCTGGGGAAGCCAAAGTGAAGGATTACACAGCACTGTTAGGGCTGTTTTAGTATAGCAGTTTTTAGGAAAGATCGCAGCATGAAGAATCTGACAAGGGTAAAAGCTATTAAGATACAGTTCTGAAGTCAAAGCCTCAAGTGCCTCCAGAATCATTTAATTCCTCCAATTTGGTAATCCCCTCCCCCCTGAGCCCCGTAAGTAACCCAGTGCCAGTTAACAGTAACTTGGTTTGTGTTAAGTCTCCCTGAACTATGCAGTGAAATCCCCCCGAGGAAGAGCTTGTGTGCACATGGCAACAAGCTGGAGTGCCCGGGAGACATTACAAAGGCTAAGGGCTTATGCAGAAATGACCTGGACTCTGGCTGCGCTCAGGGGCTGAAGCCCCAGCCGCTCTGTGGGACACAGATAAGCCCTGCCTGCCCTTGATACCCTGATCAATATTCAGTGGGGATTCATGTCTTGTGTGTACAAAGAAGCCAGTAAGGGTACAATGTGACCCCTTGTTTTTATTCATTCGCAGTTACCGATTCTTAAGAATCTTTAGAATTCAAAAGATTTTCTTCGTCAAATATAAATGCTAACGCTAGCTAATAACCGTTGCTTTTCTCGTTTGATTTAATGTCTATTACTATAGTGAGTTATATTTTGCATAAAGAAATCGTGTAGTAGAACAGACTGCCTTCCTATCTACATGTGCCACAATCTGGGACTAAGTGACAGGGGTTATATTAACTTCATCAAGTGAAGTATGCAAAAGCCAGAATCCCCTGTAAACGAGATCCATTCCTCACTTTTGGAAAACATGTATATAAAATCACAGGCAAGTGCTTCTTTCCCACTTCTTCCATTAAAACTAGCAAATCCCAAACCCGAACCACTGCATAATGCTAAACCCATTCCTTTAAGCAAATACAGACCAGAAGGAAAACAACAAGCAAGTACTGTTTAATCTCCATCTGATATTGAGAAGGGAACAAACTCACACAGAGCTTGTTCAAGTCCAAGAAGTTTTCGGGAGGTGGGGGACAAGTGCTTCTAGTCACAAACATTTTTTTTTAAAAGAAACAAGAGTCATCTTACCTGATTTACACAACAGAAACCCGACATCAGGGAAAAAAATCTAGCAAAATCCAATTACCGCAATCTTAATATAATCTTAATTACTGTAATCTATTTTATTGTAAAGTCAGATAAATGTACAATGTAATCACCACTTAAATGTAATTTTGGCTATATCATGTTAAATTATAGTGAATAGCTTTCCATAATATTCCAGACATATACAAAATAAATCTGACACACCGCACTAAAAATCGGGTAATATTTTACATGGATAAAACTTATTTCCCCAACACAAAATTTCCTAATGCATTCCCCCCCCCCAACACACACACATTCCAATATTAGTTTTCAGTGGAGAATTTTATTCCAGCATTTTCTGTTTCCCTTTCCTTTCCCCTTTTATGCTTTTCTAAATTATAGCCCTTGGCTATTTAAATGTATACTGTTCATTAGGCAGCATTTGTATTTTTTTAATTTTCTAACCACAGTACTAAAGCGAGAAATAAGAGAATTACATTTTATTTTTGGCACACAGAAACCATTCCTCTGCTTTTTTAGCTGTACTGCATCTTTTCTCAGAGCAGGGAGAGCAGACAGGGGAATGGCTTAACTGATCGCAATACAGCAAGTTCAGCCCCCTTAAAACAAAGGTAAGCCAGAGCTTGTAATGATACAGTGCCAAATTTCAACAGGGAGCAGTCACTTCATCTAGATCATGCTTGCCAGGCTGCATGAGAGAGAGCCTTCCCTGTCCCGGGGAATCTCACACAAGATCAGGGAAACAGGAAAGCAGGTCTCAACAGCCAGAAAGAAAAAACACAGGTGATTTCAAAAAGAAATAAGCCCGGCTTCAAGAGTAATAATGCTTTCAGGCATCATGTTTAAGCCATTAATTATTATTGAGGTGATTTATCTATTTTATTTATATCTATTCCTCTAGGTGCTGCACCAACAACTGAATCCAATAGTTCGAAAGTTTGTTATAAGGCCTGGACCAGCTCAGCACAGGAGCTGCTGCTTACACTGAACATCCTATCTCCAAGCAGCATTTCCAAGCAAGCCTTGCATAGCCCAGCTTTTTCCACCCAAGCAAGTCTCCTCAATCCCCAACTCCGGACAAACTCAAAGGAGCCCTGCAATACGTCTTGAAGGCTAGCAAATTCAGGTGCCAGCAGTGTGCCCCAAAACCTAGGAACTGCCAGAGAAAGTGCCTTGCTTAGCTAACCCTAAACCATCTTATTTTTACCCTGTCCTGTGCAGCTTAGTACACCTGACTGTCTCCCCAGAAGTCACTGTCAAAAACTCAAATTCAACAGGGAGGACTGTGAGGCTTTGTATCAGTGGGATCAGAAACCAATGGGAGGAAGCTGGCTGCATGGCATACAGAAGCTGAAGCTCATCACTTACCTGCCCATTGCCACCTGATCATTGGGGTCCAGAGAGCTGGTCTTGCGCTCTATGAGTTCTCTGAGAAGCTGGAGAAGGGAAGAGAATGACCAAAGTTAGGAGGACAGTACAGAACAAGAGGTAAGCATGGCCATCAAGATTTTCAAGGAGCCCTGGGGGACTCTGGCATTGAAATCCCAATGAAACAAGGCTGCCTCGCTCTCGACTCCTCTGAAAATCCCAACCCACACACCAAAGACCTTTATGTTTCCTAGGCAAGAGCAAACTTTCGATGCCAAGGCAGGAATTTTAAGTGGCACAGTGACCCCTCCAAAAAAGTACGATCAATAACACAAAACCCAACAGCAAGAGCAGGTGGATTCCTGTTAACCCCTTCGTTCAAAAAATAAGAAATAAAAGTGAGACTGGAGCATAACACAGAAAGCCATTAGGAAGACTTATAGCAGGACAGTTAATTTCAGATAGATCAATGAGTGGTGCAGCATTCCCTTCATCATTTTATGATTAGTTTAGTCCGCCCCATCAATATCAACTGAGAATCCAAAAGGTCAGGCAGACATAGAGAGGAAGGACAGCGCAGAACATTGGCTCGACCATTCACATCCCACTGCTGGGATAATGAACTAGAGATCTGGAGTCTGAGCAAGCGGGATGGTCTTGGACTGGCCAACGCTGTCTAATAAGCAGCAATGTGAAGCCATCCAGGGGAATGCAGAGCCCATTTTCCAGAGGAGCTTATCAGGGAAACAGGGTGAAACAAGCTATGACCTTTGTAGGCAGTACTTCAGGACAAATAATACAGCCAGCCCATGGAATAAGCAGGTGCAACGTGTATGAATTATCACAAAAAGTCAGATCAACAGTGCATATGCCAGTCTGTCCCTCAGTTGCTTATCCCTTAGAAAACAAACATCTCCCAGAAAGCAAATATGCAATAACATGTCCATAAGAAGAAGTTTATTTTTGATTCTAAGCATGTACTATATAGTAGAATATAAAATATATACACAGTACACACGTGGACAACTATATTCTCATTTCATCCAATCTAATGACTAATGCTATTCATTATTCGTGACTTGATGGGAATGGCACCCAATCAACCACAAGTCAGAAATCAGTGCAGTGTCCCAATAATGCTTTCAGGGGACTATGGACCCAGCAGGTCTCTCCCATCAGGGAGATCAATGCATTGCAACACCAGAGGACAGGATTGGTTCTACCAATTCCCTACCAATGAACTGGCAAGATGGCACCGAGGGGCCTTTGGCAGTTATGAATGGAGCAAGCGCGGATGCAGAAAGAGCGGGGACTCAGGAATACACAACAGGCTGAAATCTCTCCATGGAGCCTTCCCTGGACAATCTCTTTTAAAAGTGGACGCAGCCCAAAGCAGAGCAGAGAAGGTGCAATCCAGCTGGCACTTTGTGGACTTGCCCCGTTCTTTGGTTTCTGGAAGGAATAAAAGGGGCTGAGTTTTCAGAGGCTGTGGGGACTTATGCACACTGCTCCCATTAACAGTGGTTTTTCAGCAGGCAACACGCCATGAGCTGCAATGAGACCTCTGCCCCATAATCCCAAGTGCCTCTCTCCTAACCTTTATGAGGAAAAAACACTTCACAAAATAAGAGTCATGTACTGGTAAGGCAATAACATTTGCTCCAAGGACCAGCACAGCAAAATGCCTTTTACAGCTAAAGCAGAGATGCTAAAACAGGCTTTTCTATTTCCTATCCAAGCCCAGAGGAAAAGGCTTGGTTTTGATCTGTGCCTCTTCCTGCCATCTATCAGATGTGGCCTTTTGGGTACTACTGCTTACTGCCACTAGCTCTAATGCCTCGGGTATTAGTCAACCTATCCACATACAGAAGAAAAATAAACCTCGCACGACAGGGTATCTACAGGCTTCCCAAGCTGCCAGCATTTCAGCAGTAAAATTAATAAATACAGATGGACAGGTCTCATCTTGACAGGCCCCTGGAATGGAAGAGGAATCGAGGGTCATGCAGCCTGGTTGGGATCTGCCCAAGGAGGAAAGGCGTGGGGATTTTTCCCCCTGTTCCTTGCCCTTCACACCTGAAAGGAATCCAATGGTCAATCCAGATACTACAACAATGAACACAAAGGCTGCCAGCAATATTGATGGGAGCTCGATAGGCCCTTGACTACAAGGACTGAGTATGCTCCTTGTATAATACGCCCATTTATACCAGCCTGCCTCACACATAGCTTGCAGTGCCCCTCTGCTTCCCAAACCGAGCAGAGCTAGGGCATTAAAAGCTGCCCCCAAGCACTGCTCTACGGAAGAAACGCACACAACACGCGGGACGCATCTACCATTGTACTGATGAGCTACGGGGATGTAGCATCAGTGGGCACAAAGTGTGATGCCAACGCTACTGCGCAGTAGGGTTGGAAACAACCCGTGCACCTCTGGGACTGTGTAGTAACGATGGTTGCTGCGCAGTCATTTAGTATTTGCTAAAGCAAGTACCAAGTGACTGCACAATAACAACTGTGCAACTGGGGGCAGGTGTAGATGCACCCACGGATACCAATCTCCTGAACAACTCACTGAACTACACAGGTAAAGCTACCCCTCCCACCTTGCACACACTTCTAAAAAGTGCCATAAAATTAGATGGCTATAATTTGTGAGGATTTTTGCTTCTTAATAAAATAGAGACTTAAACAACGAAGGAAGATTTACACAAACCCTCCTTCAAGTCACATTTTATTGCAAGAAAGAATGGGCAATTCAAGCACAATTAAAAACCTCCCATGATTTTTTTTTTCCTTTTGCTTATTTTGGGAGATTATTGCCACAGCAATTACATTTAAAAATGCAGGGAACAGAGGCCACTGGTTTATTATCACTAGAAAACAGCAAGCTATTTCTCTGCCCTGTTTATCTGATTGATTCCCAACATCTTTCTGGCACACAATCTATCAGTTTATCTCTCCCACTTCATCACAGTCACTTCTGGCAGCTAAATACAAGATCCAAATCCAGTGTTACACAGACATACGACACAGTAAACCTATGTAACACTGCTACTCTGTAAACAGCTGCCCTTAAGGCTAAGCAAAAATGGGCTCTTGGTTTCGAGTCAATATTCTGTCAGAAGCAAGGTGGGAGGGAGAGTTTTAAAAGCCGGAAGAAATGGTGCGACTGTCTTCACCAGTTTCTTCCTAGTCTAGCAAGAAATATTCTGCTAAATATTGCACGATGTCCTCTTACATTGGCTCTTTGGCATGAGCACATAGGGAAAGCCACTGGCCGAGCCTGGGATACCACAGCCTGATAATGCACTCGCTTGCTTTGATGGCTAAAAAGTAGTGCCATTCCCTTCTACTTCTTTTCTGACTCTAGCAATTTGCATATTTAATTCACGGTTCCCTCTTCCCATGCAACAGCTATATACCGAATGCTGGCAAATGCTTTTCTGGACATCACCTTTTCCAACAGACAAGTGTGAATTACAAGATAAATAACTTGGAAGCAGCATAGTCTGGAGGATACATTATAAGTAGGGAACTCAGCAACTGTGGCTCTGCTTCCCACTAGTCTCGCACCAATGCAGCGGCCAGGTGATGTAACATCTCTGCCACGTGTCTGCACATATAAAATGGGAATATGGACCGTAGCTGTCACAAAGGTGTTACTAGACTTACACAGTTAGCATGTGCAGAAAAGTGCAATGCAAAAGCAATTATTCTGCAACAGCTATGGACAACATTGAAGGATTTATGTCTGGAATCATTCAGGTGGATGTGATCACTGATCACACTGTGAATGAGAGATGGGAATATCCCCCCTGAAAAAAAGATGGAGTCCACCTTCCGCAAGTATTCTGACATTTGATTCACATTAGCTCTCCATCTAACGCAGCTCCCAAGCTATTTCATTGCCACTGGCAAACAGTGGTGTGAAACCACCAGGATGAACACCTCCAATATAATTAAAAAGCGAGAGTCTTTCATTTAACACATTAAGTGCATGTACGTACACGCGTGACTGCATTGTGGATATATCCAGAGAGCGTACAAGGAAGAAAGGGAGCAATTTATGATAGAAGCTTTAGAAATGTTGACAGGATCCCATTGATCGGATAAGACACACAGTATATATTCTATTCATTACTCGCGCAATGTGCATGCTAAATTCTGAATCTTACTGTTTAAATTTGCACTGAGCTCAGGAGATCTCTTGGGAGACTGTCTTTTGTTCCAGTATAGAATCCTACAAGGTATGTATGTATGCATACAAAAATAAAAAAGAACAATTAGGAAAGCCACAAACAGAGTTGCTACAGTGCCACATATCAAGCAGGAAGTCTGTGAAACACCAGAAATCCAAGGTTCATTTAGAATGAACTCCCTAAATCAAAATTTTAACTACAAATGCTTTTCTATTAAAGTACTTCAGTTTTCATTACAAATGGGAACTTGTACAAGATTGTCTGCTTCTAAGTACACAAACACAAGGGGAGAATCCAATTATCTACCAGCCACAACTTCAGCAATGGTACTATCTTTGTTCAGCTCCTCATATACATAAGAAAAAAAAAAAACCCGTAGTTCCTGAAGTCACAATACCTCTGTGCACTACTCTGCTTTGCTTTGCAGGGTGTTACAATGCCAACCCTCAGACATCCATCTGGTTTCTTTATATTTGCAACAGACCTAAGCAATCTCAAGAGGGAAATGCCTTTCTGTCTCTCTCGAATGGATTAAGAGCACCACTGTGACCATAATGCATCTAATCAACGTTCACTCCAGGCTACATTACTGCAGTGCACTCTATAAGGAGCTGCCCTCATGCAGAACACTGCTGCTTGCCACCTTATGAAGCTGGGTCACAAGCATGTAATTCTCCCACGCAACCCTTTGCACCAGCTATCCCTTTTCTCTAGGATACAAGAGGAGTCAGGTAAGGGCTACAGAGTGTGCTGAATGGTCTGAGGCTGGTAGACCTGGCTGGAGGTATTGCTGCTGTCATGGTCTAAGATTAAACTCAAAACCTAAGCAGCAAGACATTTCCAGTAGAGGGCCTGCTCCAGGGGAA